TCCTGATAAGCATTATTCACTACAGTATCACGAGTTACCCATCTGTATTTCCTTTTATCAGCTCTGCCCAGACAGATTGAATAGTACCCACTGGAGATTCTGCCTTCCTCCATGCCCCCTAGCACTAGGTTCCCTCTTGAAAGCTTGTAAGCCAGTCACTTCTTGCCTTTGTTGTCCCCCCCTCCCCATTTGAGTATCTAATGTCCAAGTTGCCCATCTCCGTCCACTCTGTGTGTGGAGGGGGTTGCCCGTTGTTCCTTAACCCCTGGTTCTTCCTGTGCTGGAAGTAAGTAGGATTTCAGGCTTTTCTGAGTATACGTTATGACAGTGGTTCTACTATTATTAAACATGGATGGTTCAGACCACATGTTCTTGACTTCTGGCCACTGTCCACTAGAAAGAAGACATGTTGGTTCTGGAAAGAACACTGAGTGGGCCGAGAGCCAGCCTACATTTGGGTCTTGACTATCAAGGATGGCTCTTTCTGCACCTGTGGCTGCTTGGTAAGGCAGCATACAGAGTTTGCTTTCACTTTGGACATTTAAGACAGCTTCAGGACAGCTGGTGACAAAGATAGATAGCGTCCAGTTGCCCAGACAGGCCGTGTTCTCCACCCACCCACCTTTGGGTAATGCTTCTTCACTGCAGCTTAAGCGTATTGCTAGCTGTCTCCTTATTTCTAACAGGAGACTATTAGTTTAGTGTCTTCTCTGGACCTTAAAAAATGTTTTTAAGGCAATAATGTGTGTGAAAATTTGTTGCTAAGCATGATGCAAATACAGATGTTATGTGCTTATGATTGCAGGAGTACTTGATAGTGAGACAGGTTCTTGGTTTGTTTAGATGGTTGCACTTTTTAAATGTAGCCTTGGCTATGAGAAGATAAAGCCCTTGGACCTGTAAAAATCTAACCTTGCTGAAGAGCACACACATGTACCTAATTAGAGGGAGGTCATTAGTATATCTTGATATTTGCATATGCTATTATTATTAACAAGGAGCTCTAGCAGCTTAGTGGTTACGGATCAGATTGCTGATGTCAGGGTTGGCAGTTTGAAACTACCAGCTGTTCCGCACAAGAAAGATGAGCCTTTCTGCTCCTATAAAGATTTACAGCCTCGGAAACCCTGTACAGGGTTGCTGAGTCGGAACTGATGCCACAGCACGTAACCACCACCACCATTATACTAACTGCCATTAAATAGGGTCCCCCTCCTCCAGATGTGCAAATATTTTCTTTCCTATTTCTTCTAGACTTGACAGAAGGCTCCCAAGTTCCTGAGCGGCCCCCCAAACCGTTCCCTCGAAGAATCAACTCCGAACGCAAAGCCGGTAGCTGCCAGCAGGGCGGAGGTGCTACCGCTGCTGCCTCCTCACCTCAGCTCTCCAGTGAAATTGAGAACCTCTTGAGTCAGGGTTACTCCTACCAAGACATTCAGAAAGCTTTGGTCATTGCCCACAACAACATTGAAATGGCCAAAAATATCCTCCGGGAATTTGTTTCCATTTCTTCTCCTGCCCATGTAGCCACCTAGCGCCTCCCCTCTCTGCTGCAGCTGTAGAGGACCAGTCAGCTGAGAGCGCTTACTCAAGTAGCATCTGAGAGGGCAGAGGTTCCCTTGGTGACTTCACGATGAAGTCTTGTCCTGTCTGTGGGATGTCACATCTGTGGTTCCAAGATTTCAAAACAGTGGGATGAAAATGGAGCAGCTAGTATGTTTTGTTAACTTTCTTTGTTTTGAGAGTGCATTTGAGGATGTCCTCCGTCCCCCATTTAGGGAGAGTGTGGCTTTTGATGACATGGTAGTGTGGTGCAGTCTACCTGGGAACAGTCCAAAAAGCAGTAGGACAAGAATTATGCTGTAAATCCTTAAGTGAGGACCTAAATCTTTCCTGGGTTAAAAATGTTGCGTCTGTCTGTCTGTGTTCTGTGTCAAGATTATAAAAATTAACCTGCTGTTTGTGTTAATCCCAGGGCAGGGAATTAGCACAAGAGGTTTAGGAAGGAATCTTTCAAAGACTTCCATCTACTGTTGTATTTTACCCAACCCTAGTATGTGTATTGCAACTTTAACACTCCCCTTTCACTTGGAGTATCCTGTGCAGAGCTAAAGCCTTGTATTTTTAGAAGACACTGTCCTTTCCCCTACCTCTTGCTTCCCCTCCTCCTCCGTGGTGTACTGTCACTGGCAGTGGGCTTGCTATGATCCAGCCTTTCTGAGGCCAAGTAGCTTATAGGATGTTCCTTATTAGGTATGGTGGTGTTGGTTTGTTTGGTAGATAGTTGGGCAGTGGGGGCGGTGGGAGGGAGAGTATTGTTGCTTTGTTGGTATAATCATGTTTGATACTAGCAGCTAACAGTGGCCACTCCAAAGCACTGTTTCTATAGGAACACTGAATTTGTTAAGATAAGATATTTTAATTTTCCTAATTACATAATGACTGATTTGCGATAGAGGCCTTCAAATACATTCCATGCCCTCCCCAGAAAATAGTCTGTGGGAGACAGTTGCCTTGGTGCCAGATTTGTGTTTGGATGTAGGTCATGAGTTTTTCTATTTAATGCAAAGGGAAGAGCATTTGCTTCTAGGATGGCTTTCTGGCTTAGATTACCATGAAGCTTTTAAGAAGCTTCAGTCATACGCTCTTTACCTTATTTTACATGAAATGCCCAAAGTAGACAATAAGGAGCTATCTGTTCAGATATTCTTTCCAGTGCATTATTTCCTGCTTCTGTGGGTATATCCCTTTGAAAATGAGCCAGGTTGTATTTCCAGAAATGATTCTTTCTTTGCCCTGTAAGACCTGGGGATATTACCCATGGTAGCACAGCATTTTGATGGTCACTAGTACCTTTCCTACCTGGTGCCACCCAACAACTTGATTTTCTCTTGTGCCTATGGCTTTGGGAATGTAATGTGTCCTTTCTCCTCTCAATCTCTTGTCCTCTTTACCCTACGTCCTATGTACTTTCTTTATTCCTGTGTTTCCTTCAGTAATTGGACATCATTTGGTGTCATTAATGACTTTATAGTCAGTGACAAAACTGACAGTTTTTGTAATTCAGAGTCTAGTTTGCCGAACTCCAATCTTTAGACACTGCCAGATAATTTCGGAGACTTCTGTCCAGTCTTTTGTTCACTTCTCTTGCAGTGTGTAACCTTTCTCTTAGTTGGAACCAAACCTTCTTTTGCATAAATCTACCTTTCTCAAAATATAAAGCATGGTTCTGTCTCTAGGTCCAGGCAGAAATGACCTTCCTTCATTCTCCTTTCCAGTATTGTCATCTTTGGAACTAGAACTTTTTTCTAGCTCTTCTCTTGACTTTCAGCTACTCCTGGATGGTCTTTGGTATTCTCTTGCCTCAGAGAGTAGATGGCATAGGACCTCATGTTGATTTGTCTGTATATGGCAGAAAGCACCATAGCCCAGCACTGATGCAGGAGCCCTGAATTAGGAAGGAGGAGGGGGCAGGGTAATGTAGCAGAAAGTGGGAAACCGTAAACAGCCATCTAAAAGCCAGCATAGTGCTTCATGTAAGGTACCATTCAGTTTTACATGTTGTTTAGATTTGGAAGGTCTAGAGTAAGATCAAGAAAAAAATGACAGCAATTTCCATCCTCTCCGTATTAGAAATTTTGCTTATCTGTGAACATTACCCTTAACCTGGGGGTTTGTGAAGAGATCAAAGCAATGACTGTACATCTTTTGGGTACCACCTTTCCGGTCCAATTTTTCTTCTTTTGAAGTTACTGTTCTTACCACATAGGCAGTTCCAGCCTTCCCTCTCCTGGTGGAACGTCTTTTGAGGCTCTTCAGGTTATCCCTGAAATGACTGAAAATGAGCAGATCTTGGTTTTATCAATATGTAACTGCAGGGAGTCAAGGTTCTGGACCATTTAATGGGAACTTTTTTCTTGGACTGATTGCTTTGAGCTTTTCAGGCAAGCCACAGGAAAAAATTCACATGGATCTTCTTAAGGATGTTTGCAAAACTTTAAAATTATGTTTTCCTATGCCTGAGGCACTGACGACAACCTGTTCTTCACCCTACTTATTTGTACAGCAATTTTTAATTCTTAGATTGTGCTGTGAATTTAACCAACAGTAACAAAATTCCCCTTTCAGAAACAGGCTTTTATCTTTGAGGTTTGTCATTTTTGGTAAACCCAGTGTTTTCCTCTTTGAATTACAAAGCGTTCTTCCTCTGTTGACTGTGAGGTTGATAAGGTTAAAACTAGTGTTTTCCTTTTTCACAAATGCATTAGACTGTTTTATTCAGCTCAATTTTCTGCTTTCCCTGGACGGCTTTCCCTAGCCTGCCTCAATGCTGGGTAGCTGCTTTTCAATACTCCCATCAGCTACCAACTGCCATGTCTATCTATACGTCTTCCATGAGAGTAGGGTCCTCAGAGTGTGTGTGTGTGTGGGGGGGGGGGGTGCCGAAACCTGTGGGGTAGCTAATATCCCTCCCTTTAGTCCATCATCTCAGCATGTATCTGTTAGCATTTATATAAATGATGATCTCTACCTGTGGATACTATTCTTTTCCCCAGTCCCTTTTCTCTCCCCAACCCCAATCTACATATTCTGCCATTTTTTTCATCCTTATCTTTCTGTCAGATCTACTCATATTACCAGGGTTAGAATGTGGGTTAGTACTATTAGGATCATTTGGCTGTTGTTTGAACTGAAGTGGGTTTTTTCTTTGCGGTCCTGAGGAGATAGTCTTCATACTTAAAATATTTGTTCCTTCTATTGAAAAGTGGAGCTATTGGGTAAAGCACTGGACCACAAGGTCGGTTTGAATTGCAAGGTGGGTGGTTCATATTCACAAGGTGCTCTTCAGAAACCCCATACAGGGTCACTATGAGTCAAAACTGACTTGATGGTATTTAACAATAGCAGAAAAGTAAACTTTGCTTTATGGTCCAAATTGCAAACTTAGAAATGATTTTTTACCACAAGTTGCTTGCAAACTAGGGACTAACTCTATATTCTATTTAAGGCACCAGTAATAAGATCTAGTCCTTTTTGGAAATGTTTAACAATGGTGTTGATGCAGACTGTTCTACCTCACATCATGAAGTCATGAAGCTGCCTCTAAGTCCCTGTCGCTAGCCTTTCTGACTCTGGAAAGACCACTGTCCAGTGAATAGCAGTATTCTGACCATTGGCCTGGTTGTAACAGTTGGTTTGTTCATTCAACAAACATTTATGAGTTTTACCCTATGCCAGAGTGTCAGCTCTATGTTCTTCCACTTGGTGGTTTACTGATGATTGGGAGTTGTACTTGGGCTTTCTAGCCACCTTGCATTTGGCCCTAAAATAACTCTCCCCAGTAAGATTGTGTGATTTTTTATTTGTAGTTACTATACAGACAGATGTTTCTTTATAGAACCATCCTGGTAAAAAAGTCTTAAGACTTTTCTATTAACCCCTGTTGTTTGCCTGTAGCTTGGATGAACATCTGACAGAGTCCTATGTATAGATCTTATGATGGATGCCCAACGTTTTTTATGTATTTCAGTGGAATCTGTTTGGTGGGCCAATGGGACTGGAGATTGAGGCTTATGTTCCCTCAGAGTTACACCCTAGGGGAGTTCAACATTTAAGCGAAGCATCTGCTCACAGTCCCCTTCCCAGTCTAGTGCCTTCCTTGATCTTTTTACTGAGCTACTTGTGTCTCTAATTCTCCTTGTAGGGAAGGTTGTCCTTATCACTATTTTGGAACCTGCCACCATCTCCCATACTATTTGGAACTTGTTTCTCATCTTTCAACAACCTTTGCAGCTAATTCTATGCCTTAAAAGAGTTTAAGGTGTTGGGAAGGGTTGGCACCTGTCTGTGGGTCTGTATGTTCAACCATTGTTTGCTTTCCCAAAGCTAGACAGTGAAATAGATTAAGCTCAGTTCTTAAAAAGAAAGAAAAGTCAGCCTTTACCTGGCAGGTTAGAGAGTTTAGAGACCCTAGAGCTTAGAGTATCAAAGTCGACATAGCATGCTTCTACTAGACCTTAAAGCTTTAGAGACTCAGTCTAAAGTATTCTAACTCAACTTAAAAAGTTATTATCACCACCTTGATCTCAATCTACATTAGCAGTCTTATTTTAGAAATATATATAATATTGAATGCATGGAGGAAGAGGGTGGAGGGGTTCCTTTCTGTAGATAGTGGAAGAAGGTGGAGGTTATTAGGGATCCTTTTAGGTACAAGAAATAGAAATACTCCAAGCTAAAGAAAGGAGGTCCTCACTAAAAGAATGCATAGATCTCATGGAACCTGGAGTAGGATGGATGGTTATTTTATGGAATTCAAACTATGGAACTTGGCACGTAGTCTGTTTTCGTGCTTTTCAGCCTTTTTTTTAGCATGCATGGTCCCAAAATAGTCACCTCACTTCCACATAGCCTTCCACTTGTAAGAAGCACTGTTGACATTGGAGTAACCAGTTAAGAATACAATCATCCCTGCACACGCCTTAAGTGTCTGCCCCTAAGCAGTCAGCTTTGCCACAGAGGAACAGAGAAACTGTTGGGTAATAGGTGGCATACTCCTTGGGGGGAGGAGGGATTCACAGAGAAAAAAGCAAACTGAATAGCTACCATATAAAAACCTCTACACTGACAGTAAGCATGCTATTATACTGCTGGCTTTGAGAGTAGAAAGGCAAGGTACGGGAGTGTCATCAAGATTTTTCTTAGGGAACTGTTATCACCGTCTCTGACAGCCAAGATTTCGTACCTCCCTCCTCAGTACCGTCTTAGACTTCATTCAGTCTCAGGTTTTTAGCCTTTCATATCATTTGGAAAGCAGATCACTAATTCCACAGTAGGCACTACCCTTGGGCTTCTGAGTGATCTTCAGATGTTAGCACTGAAAATATATTTACTCTGTGGGTACCATAGATGCTGCCTTCCCTCCTCCCTGCCCTATGCGATGCTAGCTTTGCAGGAACACTCTTAAGCAGGGCTTCCTAGGTACCTTAGAAACTACTTTGCCAGTATGGATATGTATTAGAGACAGGTGGGAGAGATAAATTAGATACAGATTCCAATTTAGAATACAGTTTTACTGAGAACTCTTTAGAAAGATACCTGTGTTTTCCTTGTCCAAATGTCTTTTTAGTCATATAAGCCTTTACCTGTTTTTTTTTAAACTATGTTTCTGCTTACCTGAGTCTTCTTAATTTCTCTCATCCTAGAGCCTGTTCTGACTTAGCAAAGGATTTCATAAATAGAACTTTTTAATTACTAGAGTCATTTGGTATACATAGAAATAGCATAATAATCCAAAGATATACATCAAGGCACATGAGAAAGGGTGGGTCTTCAGACTGCATTTGTTTTAGCCTAGGCTCCAAACCAAAGGAGCCGAGGGATAGCCGTGCCGTGTGCCTTTACAGTGTCTTGGAAATCTGGGTTGGTTTCAAGGGAAGTCCCATGTTTCCTGGCCCCCCCGAAAGTAGCACAAGATGAAGAAGAGGTAGGAAAATTGGGATGGGGAAAGCAAGCTCTGTTTGGGGAAGTTCATGTAGTCGTCAGATGGAAAGCACCATGTTGAAGAACCAGCTATTGACTAACAGCTGTTTGGAGGTCTTGCTGCCCCTACCCTTGTATAGTGCTGAAGTAAATGTGACTGACCCATTCCCTACAGTTTGTGCAAAGACTGAGTGAGAGCCACCCTCAGATTGCCTACTGACTTGGCAGCTGTACAGATCAGCAGAGCTCTGCATTGCCTCTCCCCAGCGCTGCTTCCACCCTTGAACCAGATTGGAAGGCCAGAGTAGTATTGCTCAAGATAGGCCACATGCAACTCTTCCAGCCTTGTGCCAACACCAGGCTCAGGTCTGAGTCAGGGTACTGTGTGCCCACGTGTGGTACCCACATATGTGTTCTTTGGACCCTGTGTGTGTCAGCTCCCTTCTGACCACCTGGCCCTGTCAGGAGTGAGGGTAGCCATGCTTATCTGGACATTGAAGCGGCAGAATATAACTTGTGAGTCTGTGGAACATGTGTTTTTCTTCAGTGCCTCTTTCTTCTGCTGTCTAGGTGATTAAGCTTGCAAGCTCGATGCCTCCTGACCTAACCATTCTCTGCATTGTTGTAGTGTCTTGGCCTTGAAGGAAACATGGCCTCCTCCATCTGCTTTCTGACTGTAGTGACTTTGGGATTTTTAACCTTATATATCTTTTTCCTTTATTCAAAACAAAACAATTTTTAGCACACTGAAGGAAGGGGGCGGGGTAAAAAGAAGTCAAATGTTTTGTGCCTTTCTAAGGCAGCACTGTGTCCCAGGCTGCATTTTAGGACTTAATATGGAAATACCAGTCTTAGCTCCTCTACCTTGAGTATCATTAGTCCCTAGAGTCTCGGGGAGAGGAAGGAGTGCTTGCTGGGACTGGAGAGGCCAAAAGTGTAGTTTGTAGTTTGTCAGTGGTCCCCTCTCACTTCCCTAATGCTTAGTTGGAAGAAAGCAGCTTTGTACCTTGGGGTTATTTGGTTGATTCAAATCAGATTCTTAGTTATCAGGCTGAATGGTTTGCCTCTGGTAGAGGCAGGCTGTCTTGGGATTTCCAGGTAGACTCCGCACCATTCCAAATTTCCCAGCCTCCTGATCCTATTAATGACTCAAAACTTCAGGAAAAAGCTATAGGATGAATCAAAAGAATTGTTAGGTACTTCCTCTCACAGGAAAGGTTTTTGTCTTTTCTTTTTGCTGGGTCCTAAACTGACCAGGCCTTCTGCCTTTCCCTTCAGACTCTGTGTTCTGTTTTTGATGACTTCAAGCGGAAAGCATTAAGCAGCTAGCGCCCCCTGCAGGGCGTAATTCTCCCTAGGGAATGGTAGCTTTGTGGTCCTCATCAATGCTTCAGGAAGAAAAGCCTTCTGTCCCACAGTTTACTTCTCTTATTACCCTGGTCTTCGCACTTCCTGCCTTTAACTAATACTGAATTGGGAGATAGAAACCTTTTTTTAAAGTCCTCCATGTTCCAGATTTTTAAATTCTTGGCATGGGTGGGGCTAGAGAGGATTTGCTGCTCTCTCCAGGGTGAGGGAGTCCCAATTTGTAGATCAGTGTTAAACACAAAACACTTGGATGAGCTTTTTGTGGACAATTTTTAAAGTGTGTCATTAATATAAAAAAAAATTATATTAGCAGTATTTAATCATTCTCACCTGTAAAGAGTAAGAAAAACAGAAGGTAAATATTCTTACAGAGAATAGCAGAGCTTTAAGATTCATTTTCATTTAAGTCCATTTTTGTTTTGCCAATGTATTAATGTGTAGAGGTCTGTTAAACTAATGTTATTTATTAATTTTTCATTTCCATACACAGTTAACTAAAGAGCTTTTTCAAGCACCCATGTCTGTAAAAAAAAAAAAAAAAAAAAATATTTTTAAATAAAGTTTCTTTTGTTGTAGCAGACTTGCTGTTTGCACTAATTGTGGAGGGAATAATGCATTAGATAGCAAAAGGGCCAAAGGTTTAGACCCATTTCTTCATTCTAGTAAGTGTTTGCTGCCTCAAGGCCAGGCTGCCCTAGAGCAGGATGTTTCCACCTGTGGAAGATGGCACTGTTGGTTTCCTGTTACCTGTTGTGGAGGTTTTTGTTCCTGTTGATGCAGTTTCAGTTCTCGAGGCCCTCGGGTTCCTGTGGTACCCATACCCGTGAATAAAAAATGGTATGACCAATCCTAATCCTGGGTAGAAGAGGGGACTTCACAAAAGTTCATGGAAAAATTCCATTATCTTTCAATGTGATTTTTCCATGAACAATTCTGAAGCCCGTCATATGCCCCAAAGAACTGAAAGCAAAAATCTTCACCCCAATACTCAGCACTATTCACAATAGCCACAAGATGGAAACCACCAAAAATGTGCATCAACCAATGAATGAGTAAACAAAATGTAGTATACACACACAATGGATTATTACCCAGCCAGAAAGAGACATTAAGTCCTGGTACGTACTACATGGAGGAACCCTGAAAACAGTCTGAGAGAAATCAGTCACAAAGGGATAAATCTTGTATGATTCTACTGATAGGAAAATAGACAAGTATCTTAGTGGTTACCAGGCAAGCAGAGGAAGGGGAGGCGAGGCGATTGCTTGGCGAGGGCAGTTTCTGTTCATGGTGGAATCATTTGGAAGAACGATGGCTGCACACACATTGTAATCACTCACTGAATTTGTACAGTAAAAATTGTTGAACTGACATTTAATTTACCACAATGAAAAAAGAACCAGAAATGGAAATTTAAAGTTTCTGGGACAGTTAAGCTTTATTTTTCTCATATATATATATATATATATAAAAAGGAAACAATTTGCAAATTTACACCTAACAAAACCATATATATACATAACATACATACACACACATACACACAGACACACACTCCCCAAAGCTCTGGCCAGGCCCCTTGTTTATATCTAAGTATCATTCTCCCATTAGGCCCCTTCTTGTAGGGTCCCTGAGTTCAGTTTGTAGAAATTTGGTGCTAATGTAACGGTAGCTTTAATCTCCATAAAGCAAAATCTGAACCTCATCTGTGTCCCCCATCCCTGAGCTTTCAGAGTTTGCATCATCCCCTGAGAGGGCAGTGGGAGCCAAATGAATCTGGGGGCTTAGGCTCACCTTAACCACTTCAGGGACAATGGGATGTATACCCAGCATGTCTTTTAAGGAAGGAAGCCAGTCCATAGCTTGGGGCCTGGGATAGAAAGATCTTTAATAAATGACCCCCTGAAAGCAGGTAGGAAGGTGGCACGGCAGCATTTCAGCTGCTTGGAGGCAGGGCTGGAGAGCTTGCCGGAGCCCTCTGAGGAAGAGTCAACAGTGAATGGCGGTCTGAGGGATAAGTGAGCAACTGAATCACAAAAAAGCCAGCCTTTGGGGCAGGAAAGCAGCTCAGAGTGATAAGCTACCTAATTCAGCTGCTAGTCCAAGACAGGAATTTACATCTATAATGTGTGTGAGGAAAAAGCGCATTCTCCGAAGAACTCCTGCCCATTCCTGGATCCAGAGCCGCCACTCCTCCCTCTCTTTGGGAGGTCCACCACCCAACAAATGAGACTCTGGTAGGCTGATTCCAGAGGGGAGTCTCAGGGCCCAGGGAGCTCCCCTCTGAGCCCACCTAACCTCTGCAATGGGGTCTGTAGTGGGCAGGAGCAGGACTCCTATAGTCCGCTTGAGAGGCGTGGCTTCCATCCTGAGTGATGGGGAGCAGGAGCTGTTCCAGGCAGGTGGGGCGCTCAGTTCAGGTAAATGGGTTAATGCCTTAGATCGATGTACTTCTCTCCCTAAAAATGAGACTAGAGGAGAGGTAAGAGGGGAACCTGAAGATAGTGACCAGAGTTCAAGGTGTGAGCAATGAGAGGAGGGAGGACTGAAGCCAAAGCTGATGAACTCTGTATGCAGCCTTGAGGGAAGAAGCAAGGAGTGGCCATGTAGGGCAGGGAAGAAGAGACCAAGCCCCCAAATCTGACTCCACTGATAAACTGAGGCCGCACATCACACCTGGAACTGAGCCACAAGTATACTCAGGAAAAGACAATGACATGACGGGGCAGGGTCTCTGTTCAGCTCCTAGAGCCACTGTCTCTCCAGGGGCCCTTGAACACTTGCCTCCCCTCTGGCCACCCAAGAGTAGTGACAAGTAAGGTGAATGGTAGGAGGCAAGACAGGGCCTTCCTATCCCAATGAAGAAGGAGAAAGGACAGAAAGTTAGTGTTGGGGGACTGGGAACTCCCACTGGTGCCCCAAGTCCCTGCAGATGTGTCAGGAACTACCTCCTACCTGGTCTCCGGGAGCCCTCTTGTCACCGTTGCTGCCCTGTAGGAGGCCCATCTCTTCTGGGAGTTTATCTGACTTAACTTCAACTACAATTTCACTCTTACGCGACGGGGACAGCGTGCTGGGAGGAGGGGAGGGGAGGCGAGAGGTTGGCAACTGGGGGAGAGGGAGGAGGGAAGGGGAGGGACCATTGGGAAGGAAGTTGGGACTGGACTATGTAGGCTCTTTGGTGATTTGGGGCCTGGAGGAAACCAGGTCATGAAAGGGAGAGTTCCGGTTGATAACAGCTTGGTTTAGAGACAGGTAGAGCAGGTAGCACCCAGACTCAGGGCCCCACTCCTCTAGAGGGTGAGTGGGCATTGGGACTGGCAGCAAGCTGGGTAGCATGAGATGGGGGTGGGGAGGTAAGGGTGCTAAGTACCATGCTTACATCTCTTGTTTGCCTGACCGCCCACAAGGCAGCTTGCCCTTCTTGTAGAAAAAATAGAGGACAGCGCCCAGCACAGCGAGCACCAGGATGCACACAATCACAGCCACGATGACCACACCCTTGCTTTCTGATTCTGTCAGCTTTTTCTCTGTCTCACAAAGACAACTCTTGGTCACTGGCTGCCCAGAGTTGCCACATTTCCATCACTGCCCCACCCAGCCCAGGGCGGATGGAGGCCAGACCACCACTCACCCTTCTCCAGCAGAGCTCCCTGGGGAGGGGCAGGGCAGGAGGCCCAGCTTACCTGTGGAGGTGCTGTTGGCTCTGGCATGGGCACTGGCAGTGGAGGTGCTGAGGTGAGTGGAGGTGGTGGAGTCAGGTGGGAGGGTGGTTAAATTGACTGGGAGGCAGAGGGAGTTGAGTTAGGAGAAGCACAGTTAATGCCCACGCCTGAGCATGCCCCTGCCAGACTCTGCAGGGAAGAGGCCCTTACCCAGCTCCAAGAAAATCACAGTAGTGTTTCTGCCCAGGGAGTTGGAGGCCACGCATTCAGCGCCTGTCTCCAACAGCTCTGGGGTCACAAGGACACTCAGGGTGCTCAGGACACGCTGCGGATCTTTGTCTTCTTCATGCACCTACAAGGAAGGAGGAGGGACAGATGGCTCAGGGGCAGCGGGGATCTCCGGCCTGACCACATGACAGGATAGAATGTGCCTACTCACAGTGCCGTTGACATTCCAGGAGATGGTGGGTCGAGGATGTCCCAAAGCCTCACAAGACAGACTTGTCACCTCATTCTCTTTCACCCACAGCTTCTTCTCCTTGGATGCCATCCACGGGGACCCTGATGGGGAGGGAGGGGAAGAGTGAGACAGCAAACTCAGCTGGCCACTCTGCCTCCCATAAAGCACCCCTGGGACAAGTTAATGGTCATGCCTGGGCAAGCCCTGCCCCCAGGACATGGGGGGGGACCAGGCTGGCTGCAGGGTATGGGGCAATAGGGAATTTGTCCCACTTGGTCCCAACTTGTGGTAGCTTCCAGGAACCATCTGGTCTCTGCCAAGAGGAGCTTACCATAAATGGCCACATTGACCCGTTGTGTGTGGTTCAGGCCTGGGACACTGGGCACAGATGCCACACAGAGGTAGCCTCCCCCTGCCTCCCGTTTCAAGCTGTGTAATTGTAGTACAGACCCCTTTTCCAGCACCTTGCCTGTCTGCAGGGAGGGAGAGAAGGGTCAGAGAACCCTAAGGAGCAAGCTGCTGCCACCCCACAGTCCCTGGCCCACAGCCCCTGGCCCGCCTGGTACCTTTTCTCTCAGCCAGTGAAACTCAAGGGCCTGGTTACTCTCTGCTTCACAGGTCAAGGTGAGGCTGCTACCCTCCTGGCTCTCAGGGGTGGAGGGACTCACCCGGACATCTGACACATCTGGGGGCACAGCCATAGAGTCAGCCTGGGTGGGGGCGGGGCAAGGTCCCAGCCTCAGACACCAGCCTGGTCCCCCAGCCACTCACAGTTCACTAGCAGCTCCTGCTCTTCATTCAGCGACATCATGGTGTCTAAGTCCAGGCCCTGACATTCATAGAGCCCACTGTGCTCCTTCCGGGCGGGCTCCAGGACCAGGAGCCCATCGTGCTCGGTTGCCTGTTCCTCCATCTTCTTGGTGATGAGGTTCTGGGAAGAATGGAGAGGTGAGCAATGTGCTCCTGGAGCTACCCCTCCTGCATCCCAGGAGGCACCCAGCATCGACCCACCCCCACACCTGCTTGCTGATGGTGAAATGGGGTGGAGGGTTGCCATCTGCCAAACACTTGATTTCTACTCGATCACCTTCCTTCAGTTTTCCCGTAGGCAACACTTCCATCCACACCTTTTCTGCGGGGTCTGCAACAGCAAGGGGTGGCTCTCAGCCCCAAGAGCCAATCCTTGCTGGCTTGGTGGGGAAGAGCCAGAGGGAATCCCAACCAGGCCCGATCGCAATAGAACAGGGGGATGGGGATCAGTACTCACATAAAACAGGGACAGTGACATCCTTAGATTCCTTCATGTAGCCTCCACTGGGCAGCCGGTAGCTGAGCTCACAGTAAAAGTGGGCATCTTTGTCTTCTTTAACCAGTCGTGCCTTTAGAACACTCTTCAGGGTGTACAGACCACTTGACTCCACAATCTGGGATGACTGGATGTGAACACCTGGGCGGGGAAGAAGGGGAGAAGGGCTGGAGAAATGAAGCTGGCTTAGATTCTTTTAAAAAGCCTCTAAATGTTTAGACATATGTGTGAGTAAATACACAGAAATGGGCTTGAGAGGAAATACACTAGCTGACAACAAGAGATTTCTTCTAGGAAGTAAGGGACTTTTCATCCTAGATCTCTTTTGTACCTTTTATACAGTCTGTTCTTATGATATTTTCAAGCCTGATTTGTTTAAAAATAAAAAGTATGAAGCTAAAAGCAAAAGGTGGTTCCTGTGTGGTACCCAAGGAAAATACTTCAGCACTCCTGTGGGCAACACTCTTCCCGTTCCCAGGGCCAAAAGGAGAGGACTCACTGTTCTTCTCCTCCTTCAAGGGCAGCCGGTTCTTATACCAGGTAACTTGAGGAATTGGGTACCCATTCCTCCCCACGCAGGTCGCAACCTAAGGGAGGACAGGCTGTAAGTCACTATCCCTGAGACCCACCTGCTGACCGCCTGACCACCCTAGTGTAGCTCACCTCCTCAGGCTCCTCACTGTTTACAGAGATTCCCACGGTGTTGACCTGAATGCTTGGCTCCTCTGGAGCTTCTACAAGACAGAGAGAGGAGAGGGGCATGGTACCCCACTCCAGGATCCATAGCACCCATGGAGAGGATTTGGGGCACTTACTGTAGACTTGGAGCTGGATACGATGTTTCTGGGACTGTGGGCGCTTGCTCTGGCACAGGAAGATGCGTTCATCATGGGGGGTGACCTGAGCCAGGGCCAGTGTACCTCCTCTGCCCTGGAGGCTGAGCCGGTGCTGATATTCCCCAGGTTCACTCTGGCCCTGGCCCTGGCGAACGCGGTAGATGAGTGTAGGCTTCTCCTTGTGGACCTAAGGAGAGAGGCCAAGAAGAGGTGAGGGTCCTGGGGCTACCAAAACCAAAAAAAGCCAAACCCACTGGCACCAGTCAATTCTGACTCATAGCAGCCCTATCAGACTGTCCCCTTTAGGGTGGCCAAGAACACAAATCTTTACAGGAGCAGATGGTCTTGTCTTTCTCCCAGAAAGCGGCTGGTGGGTTCGAACTGTTGACCTTTTGGTTAGCAGCCCAATGCTTAACACACCAGGGCTCCTCTTAAGGCTTGAGTCAACCCCCTGCCATGGATCTGATTCTGACTTATGTGGACCCGCCATATAGTTCCCAAGACTGTAACAGACAGCCTCATCTTCCCAAGGAGTGGCTGCTGAGTTTGAACTACCGACTTTATGGTTAGCAGCCCAGTGCTTAACCTACAGTGCCACCAGGGCTCTTCCTGGGGCTACAGGAGAAGTAAACTATCCCACCCTCTATTGGTATGGTGCTGTGGGTTATACACCAGACTGCAAAGCCATTTGAACTGCAAGGTTAGCGATTCAAGCTTACCAGCTGCTCCTCAGAAACCCTATACAAAGTTGCTATGGGTCCAAATCAACACGGCACTTAACAACAACAGCATTACCCTCTGGGAGTAGCACTCACAGAAAACCAGTCCACGCTGACGTTGCCCTGGGCATGGGAAAGGCCACACTTCAGGAGCGCAGTGCTGCCTACATCCACCTCCAGTTGCTCTGGTACAGGCTGCTCAGCCTCCCCCGGCACACCTGGGGAGGAGGAGGAGGAACATCCCCAGCAATTGTGTCAGCTCCAGCTGCCTTCCACTCCCTCCCCCTATCACACATGCTTGCTAGGCTGCAGCTGTTCTTCCTGCCACTGGGAGGGTCTGAAGAGGGTCCTGTCCTCTCTTCACCCTTAGCCACTCCCTGCTCCCTGCCCCCAGACTGAAGCCCACCCTCTCCTGGTTCAGGGGAGCTGGGAACTGTCATCCCCGGTCCTTTGAGCAAAGACCCAGGCAGAGGGGCAACCCAGGCTCTGAGCCAAGAGGAAGGCCGGTTTCCTTCCAGGCCCCTCCTCTCCACGTGAGCTCAGAGTGTGGGAATGCATAGCGTGTGCCAGACTGGGGCACACAGGCCCCTTTGTGTCCCCACCCCCAAAGGAAAACGTCACTATTCTGACCTCTGCCCCCAAGAATCCCCTCTCCAAGACCCCTACAAGACCCAGTGGGCCCTGCTGGCCAGAAGCTTTCCTCTCCTACTCCTTACAGTGCCTCACAGAACATCCCACACACATGCTCGGGGATTCCATCCTAGTCTTGGGAGGGAGAAGGGGTCAGAGTCTCCCCCAGGGGTCAAGGCAAGGTCCAGGCAATAGGCAGGAATGACATCAGTGGTGCCAGCGTGCAGCCAGCCCTGTGAAGTGGTGATGTCATTCAATACCATCTGGGTGGATTCTGGGATGCCTGGGCTCTTGCCCTGGCCTGCCTCCCAGACAAGGAGGGCATATGGAGTGAGCGGTCTTCAACTGGGGCAGAAACCACCAATCCCTAACTCAGTTTCCCCAAAGCTAGGGCCGAGCAAATATGGAAGCAATGCAGCTGTGGACTTAGCCCTTTCCGCAGAAATAAAGCCGGCCGAGCAGGCAGACTCCAGGGACACCGTCGGTACTGGGCAGGAGGCCAGCATGCTGAGTACTGCCCAGCCGAATCACGGCTGGGACCCGGGAAATGGAACCAAGAGAAACACGCAACACTGCTGCGGGCCATACAAGGGCAGCAGGGACCCAGGAGCGCCCAGCACTAGGCGGTTCCAGAGAAAAACGTGGAGGTGCTGGGGTTCTCTTCGCGCCGGAATGTTATCTCCAAACTAGGAGGTATATAACAAGATAAATCTGGGGGCGCTCTCACTCTGGGAATGCTCCAAATCTCTTATCTGCCACCTGCAATGTCACCACCCAGGTCGGTACGAGGCAACCCACACACTGTCCGCTCGCACGCACGCCCCAGCCCCTGCCAACGCCCAGCTGGAGAACAAGCCGCGGTGTCTCCCTCCCCTGCTCACCTCCAGCCTGGCCCGGAGCCCGGGCGGGAGGGGGAGGGACGGGCGCACCCCCTCCAACTAAGAAAGCTGCCCTTTTTTCAGCAACAGGCGGGCACAGAATTCAGGACTCCGGGGTGCGCTCTAGCTGCGCCCCCGCCCCGGCTTCACCACCGGGACCCCCGGAATAAACACCTGAGGGAAAATCTCTCCCCAGCTCCCGGAGAGGCTCAGCTCCACCCCTTCCCGCTTCCGGCAGGAGCCGCCTCTCCGCTCCTGCTCCCGGGATACTCGAGGATGGAACCTGCAAACTGGCTACAAAGAAGAGTTGCATGCGCGCAAGGCGCCGAGCGCCCGACACCGGGGAAGAGAGCGCACGCGGGGGACCAAACCACGACTCCAATGCGTGCCAAGCTCTGCTCCCCGGCACAGTTTGCCGAAAGCCCCTGGCTCAGGCCTTGATGGGTACGGGCTCCCAAGCTAACTCACCCGCGGCACAGCGACAGCAGCACCAGGCGGCGAACAAGAAAGCGCAGAGGAACTCGGTCAGCTTCATGCTTCCCGGCCGGAGGGCAAACGCCAAGTGCAGGAGCCCGCTGCGACCCGGGACTGACGTCAGGGGGGCGTGGGAGGGGGGCCAGGCCCCGCCCCTCGCCCCCCGCTCCCGCCCAGCTAGCTGCAGCCTAGTGGGCGGGCCCCTGCACTGAGAGCCCCTGAGCTTCGCCCAGCGGCGCTGTCGGTGGAAGGCTGGCGGCTTCCCCAGGCCCCAAACCAGGGAAGCTTGAGGGGAGTGACAGGTGTCTGGGGCCCCGACTGCTGTGCTGAGGCAGCAGCGGGGAGAAGCCGGCCCAGATGCCCAGAGTCGCCCGGGTCAGAACCAGCACTCATCCCAACCCCCAACCCCTGCCAGCCAGTGTAGCCTTCGGGAATCTCTAAGTCCTCGCTGGGGGTTTCCCATCCAAGCAGCTCTCCCCTCTTCCTACTATACTCCACCGTACCTCTGCCACAAATAAACTGGCCGGTCTCAGTGGCATCCCGGAATTATTACACCATTGCGAAGGCCGCTGGCCTAGCAATGCCCCCAAGCCTAGCAGTCCTGGCAGCTTTTCCGGAAGAGGCCTGCACCAAGTCCCACAATCCCAGAAGTAGCCGTTTTGGGGGAGGGGAGATGGCACCTTAGAAGCTGCTCCTTCACACTCCAACTCGTGCAAATGTACCTTCGACTAGAAGTAAAGAAGGGCAGGAATCCAGAGGCTCAAAGTTTTCATACTTTTCCAACGTCCGCTCCCCTCAACACACACAAAAAAACAACCCATGGATCTTGAGTCAGTTCCGACTCATGGTGATCTCAGTATTACAGACTTGAATTATTTCATAGGATTTCTTGGTTGTGATGATCTTTAGGGAAGCAGCTCACCAGGTCCTCCTTCTGCATCGCCACTGGGTGGGTTTCAACTACAACTTTTTAGTTAGTAGATACATGTGAACCGTTTGTACTACCTAGAGACTTTGTCAAAGCCCAGGTCTTGAAAATTCTGTTACTCTTCACTCTTCACTCACTGAGCCCAGCCTTGTTAAGTGCGATCAAGCCGATTCTGACTCATAATGACCCTATATAGGGTTTCTGAGCTGCAGCCTAGAACCTATTTTCTTCTCACCTGGATGAAGAGGGGAAAAGAAAGAGTTAATGGATACAGGGTCCTGAGTTTGAAGGCTGCTGGAAACCTGTTGTAGTTCCCAAGGGGTGGGTGGATGATCCCTGCAGCACTGTTCCCACACTTCTCCCTCTCTCTCCCAACCTTATTGATTGTGATTCAGCCACTGGCAGTTGTTTTGTTATGTGCCGTGGAGTCGGTTCCAACTCATAGCGACCCTGTACAGGGTTTCCGAGGCTGTAAATCTTTATGGGAGCAGAAAGCCTCATCTTTCTCCCGCGAACAGCTGGTAGTTTAGAACTGCTGACCTTGCGGTTCACAGCCCATTCGTAACCACTACGCTACCAGAGGGGGACTCAAAAGGAATCCGATCTGGTTTCATCCTTGCCTGAGTGGGGCCTGCCACACAGCGATGCATGGTGAGCCCACAGCTGCCCTCCTTCCTAGATCCCTTCTTCACCTAGAGATTAAGGGAGGGGAGAGGGCTCTTGTCCAGTGGAGTCTCCAGCACCTTCCCTCAGAGAAAGGGATCCTCACCTGCTGAGACCCCTGTACCACGGAAGGTCAAGCCTGGATTAGGGCTGCAGGCCTGCCTCCTGGCAGCCTTTCTGTTGGCTGGGGGAGGAGCAGCGTGAGGCAGCAAACTCCAGAGATGGGCAGGTGACTTGAGAGAATCGCTCTGGAGTAGCATTTGATGATGACGCAGAGATGACTCGCAAACCACATCAGTCTGGTTTTTGGAGCTTTGCTGACCCCCTCTGCCCTCTCCATTATTCTCCAACCAGCCTGAGTCAAGGGCCTGGAGCTGGGGGTAGAAAACAGGAGGAAGACTGGGCCCTCCTCACCCCCAACCCCAGGGTGATGCATGGACTGGCCTAGGTCCCAGAACAGGATGGAGATGCTTTCATTTGTCCACAAGGGCAGTAGTAAGAATGGCTGAAGGATGCTTTGGGCCGTGGCAGACTCAGAGCTGGGCATGGAGCTCTGCTTCCCTGCCCCACCCCCATCCTTTCACTTAACACCATTAACTAATCATTCTCCCTCTTTCCTGCCAGAGAACAAAGCCAGCCAGCCACCAAGGACAGTCGCTCCCTCCAAATTCTTCTTCCGCCCTCAGTAAAGTGAAGCTGGTGGGGGTGGAGGAGCTGCCTCTATCTACAGTGCCAGGGAATTGAGGTTAGAGCCCAGGATGGCATCGCCTTTCTGTACAGCCCTACCAAACAAGCACAAAGATTGTTTTTTAAGAAAGCCAGTAGCCTGGGGCTGTCTGGCTGCGCAAGAGTGGGTGGTGGAGGTCAAGGGACAGACAGCTTTGGGGTGGCTTAATGGGGGGGAGGGGCACTTAGGGCTTCCAAACCAAAGAGAGGTCAGGACCTTGGAGAGGATTCAGAGGAAAATGAAAACCAAGGGAGAATGGGGAGTGAAGAAAAGAGACAGCGGTTGAGGAAGAGAAGGTGGAGGATCTTCAGCAGCAGGAGGAAAGAAAGAAGATGGCAGGGAAAGAACGTCCAACCAGAGAGGACTGAGATACAGCAGAAGAGGAAATCAATCCTGGAGGCAGTGATGGACCTTTCACACCCAGAGAGACTCCTACACTGGGGCTGGGGTAGAAGCAGCCTTACCCAGAGGTAGGCCAAGACCAAAGAAGAGGCCCTGGGGCCAGAATCCTAATCTTTGCCTATTTGTTTTTCTCCTGGAGGAAAGAATGGGAGTACTACTCTTTTCCAACCCACCATCAGCACCAGCTTCTCAGAGATGAGGGGACTTCATGGCCTGGAATGCTTGTGTGTCTCTGTGTGTCTCTGTGTGTGTGTGTGGTGTAGGTGTGACCACAGGTAGAAAAATTGAGGCTGGATGGAGTGATGGTTGTGGTCTGGGTCCCTCAACCATAGTCTCCTGGGAGGATGGACTTTTTGTTCATCGTAAGGAGAAATAGATAAGAATATTTGCCCCAGCCCCAGTGGAGTTGGAGGTAAAATGACAAGAATGAGCCTGCCACCTAGGATCTTACTGGAGTGAGATTTAAAATGGAAACTCTTCTCCCAGCTCTGTTACAGTGGGCACAATGGACTCCCACCCACCCTTTTGGACAAGGTGCAGTGACCAGAAGGATGTGAGCAGGGCGGGCTAGTTGGAGGAAGGAAACTGATAAAGGACCTTTGCAGCTGCGATGAGGAGATGGGGGTGGCGGGGAATATCCAGCAGTCTCCTTAAGTATGGAGGTTGGGGAACCCCCTGACATGGGCAGAAAATGAGATTCAGCCTGGGTCTTTGGAGGGGAGGTCAAAGTTTTTCCAGAATGGGGATCTGAGATAGGGGGAGATTGTGTTGAGGGAAGGAAAAACAGGGCGGGAGGAGGGTGGGGGGCAGTTGCTACTGAGGACAGGAAACCAAACCGGATACTGGGGGGCTGGGTGGAAGATATGGGGAAAGAGACTGAATGGGGGGAAGCAGCCCCTTGGCCCGCCCGGATACAGTCTCACCCATGTCCTTTACACCTGACTCAGGACAGGAGGGAGGAGGTGTGGGCCTGGATTGAAATGCTCACCAGGAAGACCAGAGAACAGGAGGAGGGTGGCTTACTGGGGAGCTGGGCGGGGCTATTTTTAAACTTGGAAAAACCATGAGTTCATCCCCACCCTGAGTACTGGAGGCTGCAAAGGCTTCATTGTGCAGGGGTCCAGAGAAGGGGAGTGGGAAAGGGGGAGAGTGGTACAATGATGAGGATTATGTTGGATGGAGCAGGGGAAGCAGAGGGTGGGGGAAGGGGTGTCTTCGTCACAGCTGGCCTACTGAACTCTGGGGTCGAGCCAGGCTGGGTCTTGGAGTAAGGGGTTTTCTACACTCACAAAGCCCCCTATTGGGGAGCTGGGGTCTCTGGCATCCATCTGAAGACCCATCCTGGGGAGGGGGCTGAGAGTGGGATTTCCACAGCCTGGCTTTCCCAGGAACTGCAGGGTCTGTTCCCAGGCTCCCAGCATTCCAGCAACTCCCCTGGGAGCTGCTGGCCTCGCCTCTCAGCCCCTTCCCAGCCAGGGAGTGTGGGGAGACCCGGAGAGAACGGATGTGAATGGGAAGCTTCCTGGGGACTGTGTTGTTAAGTGACCTCCTGATTCATAGCCACCCTGTATAAGGTTTAGGACAGCAGCTGGTGGGCTTGAATTGTGGACTCTGCAGTTAGCAATTTAGTGCTTATCCTATATCAGAGGGGGCGGCAGTGGGTGAGTGAGGCATAGTCCCCCATCCTAGTCCCCAACCCTGCTCATCCTTCAGACTTGATACCGTCCCTTTTGTCCACTTCAGCCCTTGTGGCATCTTCACGTAGGGGCAACCCACCTGCCTGACCTCAGCCCTTCAGAACTCAGGGACTCAGATGATCCTCCCATAGCAGGTAAGTCGAGGAAGGCGCCAGTTAAGTTCTAGTCGTCCCAGGAGCCTGAGCTCCCTGAGGTCTGGCCTGCGGAGGCCTGAGGAGGCGGGGCATCCGGCCTCCCGCTCGCCCCAACCCAAACATTACCATAAATGCTCACGGTGGCGGCCACGGCCCGGGAAGAATGGGGGGCGGGGGCTGGGGCCCTGCCGAAATCCCGAATCCGGTCTCCTGACTTTCCAACCGGGGGCCTGCCGCGGTGATTCAGTCAACTCGTTCCCCACTCTGAAAAGTGAGAGGGGGAGGCGAGGCTGAGCGGGGGTGTGCTCTGGGGTTGCCTCTTAGGTGAGCAGTGAGGCTGTGGCCGCCTCGGAATCAGACCTCCAGTCTGGGAGGGAGCCGCATCGGCTCCTGCGCCTGGGCCCTCGGGTTAAGGCTTCAGCATCTTGACATCCCGACAGGGGCAGGGGCCTGTCTCCCTCCAAGGTGCAGCCCTGCCTCAGTCCTATCACATAAAGATAGGCCTCCCACCACCAATTCAGCCTGAGTCTCCGGATCTCTGGCTCCTGTACAGCTAAGGGCCTAATATTCCTCCCATCCCGCCCCGACCCCCACCATTCTAAACTTGAAGCCTGAAGGATGACAGGGGCTCTGAAACAGGATGCTGGGAATTTACACCTCTCCCCCTCTAGAAAGTTCACATCCGCTCCCCAAAATACCACCAGTGAGAGAGTGGAATGTCCCCAGAGAGCTGTTTAAGTTAGACACTGAGCTGCCGCTGAGAAAAGGCCAGCAAGTCCACAGAAGGGGAGCCTTTGGGAAACCTGGAGTGCCATGTCCCTTGTCTCCTGAAGGAGGAGAGCTTTTTGTTCCATCCCAGCAAGGGGGTGTGGGGGTGGGCTGTGAGGTTCACTGTAGTAGTTGTCACAGCTGATCTTGGAGAAGGGCAGGAGAGAGAAGATGAGAGGCAAGACAGGGTTCTATTCACTATCTTCCTGGATCCCACGCCCCAGTGGCTAGGGTTTCAAGAAAACGTATAAAGAGGGCAGATTGCAGGATTTGGAGCCACAATGAGTCCCCAAACTGTCAGACTATGCTGTACTCTGCAGCAGTGCCTTCTCTTTACATTCCTGTCACTCTAAACTGTGATCTCAAACACTCCAACTTAGCTGATCTTGGACAAGTTACCTAACCCAGGAGTGATGAAGATATCATATAGTATTCATAATGAGGGAAGAAGCTACTCATGTCTAATATTAACAATTTACAAGTTTCACTGAAGGAGCATTTTTATAACCAATATGGCTCTGAATCTTTACCACAGAGACAGATGCCATTATCCTTACTTCAAAGATGAAGCAAGAAGTTCTCGGACCTAAGGGTACATCGCTTGTGAGTGTTGGAACCAAA